CTAAATATATACTAATATATTAATATTTATACTAATTATTGTATATTAATTATTTTTATTTTTATTAATTGGTATATTATATTAATATACTAATTCCAATACTGAATATATACTAATATACTATACTGATATACGAATATACTAATATGCTAATATGCTAATATGCTAATATACTAATATGCTAATATACTAATATACTGATATATTAATATACTGATATACCAATATAATGATATACTAATATACTGATATACTACTAATATACTGATATACTAATATAATGATATACTAATATACTGATATACTAATATACTAATATGTTAATATGCTAATATGCTAATATGCTAATATGCTAATATATTAATATACTGATATACTAATATACTAACATACTAATATGCTAATATACCAATATACTAATGTACTAATACTATAATCGTATCTCCTCTTCCCAAATTGTCCTTTTTGGAAAATCTGAGCGTCAATTAGGAAGAATTAACTGTAGTTTTTAATACATTTTATTAGATCTTGTTTTATTAACTTTCTGTCATCTCCGAGTCGATTTTTTTTATTGTTTCCAACCTCATTCTCGTTCCTATCGAAAGTTTCGGCTCGTGCAGCCGGCGGAGCCTGGGTCCGCCGATCCCGGCGGTCATCTGATTTCTCGAACGGGACTTACCTCTTTAGCCGGCGAGAACGGTGCCGCGTTCGAAAGTAAACTTCCTGGCACTTCACTGGGCCGGAATTCCGGCTGATTTCAGCCTCGATATGGCTCGTCTTCGTTTGGGAAGAGCTCGAGTCTCGCGCGGATCTTGACAGCGCCCGATCAGATGGGTCAGTCCCAAAATAAGTCCCCCTTTGATCAGGCCCTCCCGGCACCGCTCGGACAGCCGCGTTTCTGTAATTTTTGTCTCTCTTTCACCGGGACTGCACAGCTCGGTAGCACACACTGGCGATCGGTTCGCTCGGGGTTAGGTTTAGGTTAGGGTGCACTGTCACGGTTCCGCGTGGGTGTAGCGCGCGCGCGCACCTCTGTCGCTGCGGTGCGGATCACGGCGGGTCCTCTGCACGCGTTCTCGCGAAGACACGTGCATAGAATGCGGGACCAACGGCCGATGCTGCGTGAATAGTCCGCGGCGCAGCGAAACCGCGGTTTAAGTATTGGTTAAGCAAGCCGCCGCGGACGGCGGCCGGCCTGGGGAGGGGGCGTGTGGGCCTTAAGCGATCGCCTGAAAATCCCGGGCTCATGGGGAGTCAAGGTCTCCCTCCCTAACACGTTCTAATTCCGGCCGGAGGGTGGGGAGCCTCTCGGGCGTCCTCTCAGGCCCGCTACACCCTCCGGCCAAGGTCGTTCGACGCCGAGGCCCCGGGACGCGGGACGCCTCCCCCCTCCACCGCGCTCGGTCCACGAGCCGAGCCTGTCCGCCGACAGCCTAGATTTCGTTTTCTATTCGGGATGTCGCCGCATCGCGCCGCGTCGGTGCAGGTCCAAAGGTCGGCACCCTATTTCGCGTAGAAATCTTCGATGATCGCCTCTGTTCCGGATTCGTCTTTCACGATTTTGTCGGTGATATTATTGTTCGCGCGGCACCGTCGCCCACAATTTGAAGACTGCTGCGAACCATAAAGAATAAAGAAAAAAATGACCACGAACACCTGAATGATTCGCGAACACCGCTGAACAAATTTTTGGAAATCTACGAACTTGTTGATCGAAGGCAGATTGAATCTTTTCCTGCGATTGTTCTCGATTGCTCGACAGGTTGTTTTCTAGTTCTTGTTATTAAAATTTTACGTTACTGTAATGTATTGCGTAACGAGAATAACGGAGATATTGCGCGGCATTTCTTCAACATCTGCTTCCTAGAACACAAAAACCGGAGGACAGAGTCGCCGTGTAGGACTTCTTGCGACGATTTTTGCGCGGATTCGCTTACAATGTTGCAAGAAATAGATTCGACCGACTCCGCATCACCTGTGAATCGATCGTGTCATCGAACGATTCTCACATGAAAGTGTCTCACATAATTTTACGAAGACAAATATCGCAATGATTACGACCAGACTAGTTGTCTTTCCGGACAGTCAGCGTACAGTCAGACCGCGGAACGAACGTAATCGCAATTAACTAGGACAGTTTCGGCATCGGCAGCGGTGAAAGTATCAATAACCTAATGGGATTATTGTGGCCGGCGTGGCAATTAGTAGACATCAGGCGACGCCGTTCAGAATCGTGACACTTTGGAACTTGTTTCACAGCCGGGAGGAAACCGTGAAATTCCTAGGCTCTTCTGTTTGCATAAGGAGGACCAAGTTTCTGAACATCTTCCTGGTACATTTTAACGTGATCGAACACCGTAAGAAATAAAATGACCTTAATTCATACCAATGCTGCCACGCGACCGAGAGAAAGTACCGACCTAATACACGCTATGCGGGAAAATCATATAAAAATCTTGTCAATGGATGAACTAATTATTCGGATATGAACCAGTACGCCGGATAAGGAAAACTGGCCCAGTGAGAAATTTCAACTATCAGTCAACGCTGCGAGATGACCGCGCAGTCAACCTATCTAGGAAATGTACACAGTAAATGTACGATATGAATAAGTAGACGAGAAAGATGTACAAAGTTACAGTACAAGATAAATATACAAAGTTATAGTACAAGATAAATTTACAACATATTTGTACAAATTAATGGTGCAAGAAAAATGTACAAAGTTATAGTATAATATAAATGTACAATATATTTGTACAAATTAATAGTGCAAGAAAGATGTACAAAGTTATAGTACAAGATAAATGTACAACATATTTGTACAAAGTTATAGTACAACATAAATGTACAAAGTTATAGTACAAGATAAATGTACAATATATTTGTACAAAGTTATAGTACAAGATAAATGTGCAACATATTTGCACAAATTAATGGTGCAAGATAAAAGTACAAAATTATAGTGCAAGATAAAAGTACAACATATTTGTACAAAGTGAATGTACAAGGTAAATACACAAAGTAATATAAATACAAGATAGATGTACAAGCAAGATAAATGTACAAAGTTATAGTACAAATGAAATGTAGAACATATTTGTATTAAAAAAACGTCTAAAGTAATGGAACAAGATAAATGTACACAGTTTAAGTACAAAATAAACGTACAAGGTAATGGTACATGATAAATGTACAAGGCAAATTTACATAGTAAATGCGCAAAATAATGCTAAAAGATACATGTACAACGTAAATGTAGAAAGTAAAGGTGGGAAGTGTACAAGATAAATGTTCAAGGTAAATACAAGGTAATGTACAAGGTAATGGTGGAAAATCAATGTACAAGGTACTGTTGCAAGATCAATGTACAAGGTACTGTTACAAGATCAATGTACAAGGTAATGGTACAAGACCAATGTACTAGGTAAACATACAACATAATCGTACAATATAAAAATGTACAATTTATATGTACAAGAAGAATGTACAAGGTAAATGTCCAAGATAAATGTACAAGGTAAATATACAAAGTAAATGTTCAAAGTAATGGTGCAAGATAAGTGTACCAGGTAAATGTACAAAGTAATGGTGCAACATCAATGTACAAAGTAAACATACAAAGTAATGGTATAATATAAATGTACAAGATGAATGTACGAGGTAAATGTATAAGATAAATGTAAATATACAAAGTAAATGTTTAAAGTAATGGTACAAGATAAGTGTACAAGATAAATGCTCCAGGTAAATAT